AAAAAAAAAAAATAAAGTTATCAAAAGTGTCTGACTATACTCAGTCCACTACTGGGCACYTAAACAGTCTTATTCACTAGGGCTAAGAACCTGTAAAGGGTACTTTGTGTTCAGTGTAAGTTTCCCAATAAGAACCTTAATTCTATATTCTCATGTKCATGCTTTGTCCAAATATCATATTTAATGTTGGCTGGCTCTTGGCCTCAGTTTAAAAAAAAATCTGGAAAACAACACATTGTCAGGGGCTGAAAACATCAAAAAAATTACTGATTTCCTTCCATTGTACTCATTGGTTGGAAAGATTTTTAGGTGCAAAGAAAAAGAAAAGAAAGAAGAGTAAAAAAGGGTATTTGATCCCTTTTCCCAAAGTTGCCAATAAAACACCATGTAGCAAAAGAGTTGCTGTCAGAGTGCTGCATTTTTCAGTTGGTTTCCTTATGCTGGTGCGAAATGAGTAGCAAAGAAACATAAACCTTGTTCTTTTTGTCCTGGAGCCTGTGGTTCAAGGATTCCCAATTCTGGGGGCTGTTTTTTTCAGAAAAAAAAAAATTCATGTGAGAGAGGAATCACTAAAATCTGTTGCCCACAACAAGTCTTGCTGCTGTTGTTGCTAATTTGATTTTTCTTTTAAGTCTACCAAGCATCAGAACAGTTAGGGGTCTATTTTTAATCTATGAAATCTCATAAAATCATGCAAGCATGATTTTTTGGATTAAGCCAAGCTGTTATTGGAGAATATTCAAAGAAGTATCAAGATAAAGATGAATGTTCACCACTTACAGCTGCACAATCATTTTTGTGATACTATCTCCAAAAAACTCTTATCAGGGGGATCCTCTGCACACTTGACAAATTTTCCCCTATGCCAGAAGTATTGAATAGAATTGTGGATAGATAATATTTATTTGTAGATAATATTTATTTATAGAGCTGGGAAACAAAGTTAGAAAAAGCTGAATTACAGATTCACCCTGCTACACAAAACACGTGAAGGCCATTTAAATTTTGGCTACAGATCCACCTCTAAACCCAGAAATTCAAGTCAGAACCTGAGTGCTGGCGTAATAATGATGGTTTTTATGATCATAAATTATGCTACTGCCTTTAAAGCTATCATGAATTCTCACCTGAAAATACATAAAAGAGCCAAATTTTCTACCGGCATGATACTCAAATTCACTTCAATTTTAGGACATCATCCGGGAAATAGATTTGATTTCATATATTTCATTATGTTATMATTCCTATTAATTACTAGAGAAGCAATAAATCACTGTAACCACAGAAGTGGTTAGAAAGTATGAGAAATGAGCTAGAAGCCAGGGAAAAAGGAACAAATGAGGCAGCTGCTCAGAACTATGGGATCCAGGAACCATGTGGAATAAGTTATGAGGGAAATCTATTGAAGCAATGAACATAAATGATTTCAAGAGACACCTAAATTGTTTCCGAAGGAAGAGACAGAGGGAAGTTGTTAAAAATGAAAGAAAAATAAGGTGGAAAAAAAAGATCAATCAAAACAGAAATCTGTTGGACAGATGGTATCACTCCGTTCTTGGAATATCTTAATTTCTTAAAATTGGAAATTACAGAAAAAATATATATCGCTCCCTGTTTGGTCAGTAGCCTGAAATAAAAAAAACAGGACCTCAGCTCTAATATTAATTTCCTCAAATTCACAGATTCATAGAATAATTTGGATTGGGAGGGATCTTAAAGATCATCTCATTCCAGAGATGTCCTGTCCCATGGGCAGGGACACCTTCCACTGGACCAGAGTGATTCATCATTCATTTTATCTGGTTTTGGAATATATTTATCTTATTTTACACTGCAGGGTTTGGAGTCTGGAGTCACCAGTGGCACCGCCCCAAATGCCCTGAGCCACCAGATTCCCATTTCTTCTCTGCTGCCACCTGCCACACTCTSCAATTTCCCCAAGAAATTCCTCATTTACAACCCACTTGARGGGAYTTTAAAGCTCTGATTATTTACATGRAAAGGCAATAAATGAAGCCTGTCTTGCCCCAGGTGAGCACAGGGTCTGCAGTGACAACACGTGTGTCCAGGTGCTCTCTGATTGAAGAGTTCACAACTGGGTGGGAAAACAAGAACCAGTTTGGCCTTTTTCTTAATGGAATGTTTTCCAGAGGGTGCAGCAAATAAATCACCTGAATCCCCTACAAAAGGGATTAATTTGAAAGGGGAAGAGCTTAATAATTTCCTGTGTCCATCAGCTCTTTGATTTAGGTTCGTTGACAGTGGGTGGAGAKGTTTTCCCTCTCCTCCTGCTGAATTTCCTTCTTGTTTTAAGGTAGCAAGAGTTATCAAAAAAATCTTAAAATTTTATGGGTGAATTATGGTTTCCAGGCYTYCTGAACCASCTAAGGATGGGAGCTGCAGAGCTGMCACACAGAACAGGCTCCACAAACACTTGTGAGGCTGTTTTTGTGCACCCCAGAGACCCAGCTAATGCAAGAGCTTCAGTGCCAGATCACCACCCAAAAATGCATCCCGGTGAGTGAGGATTGCCACACGCATCCTTGCACAACACCAAAGCACAAACCAGCTCCAGCAGAGACCCTCAAATTACCACAGACTCAGATTTTTGTGCATTTCTGTCCGGATTCTTCAAAAGTTCCCACATTTAAAATAACAGGAACTGAGAACAAGACCGTAGAACAAAACCACAAAATATTAGRTATCCCAAAATGAATTTTTGGGCTGTTTGCTTGGTTGCTTGGGTCCACATTTAGTGACAGGGGGGAGTTTTGGTGGGTTTGTTGGTTTTTGGTTATTTTTTTTGTTGTTGTTGGTTTTTTTTTGTTTTTTTCACACAGCTTTCCTCATTGCTGATGGGAATTTGATAAAGCACAAAAAAAAGAAATGAGTGGGTGATTTAATCTCAGAGGCATCTTACCAGAGGGCTGCCATCAGTCCAGCGGAAATCACGCTCAAACATCTTGTCATTGAGGCCAATCCACTGGTAGTCATGGCCAATACCTAGGGAACCAGAAGAGTAATTTGTTATTAAATAAAAATTCCATAAATGGAAGAGATATCACCAAAGGAAATAATTTGCAYGGAATGATTCAGACATCCTGTTCTTAAGATTCCTCCGTTCATTGTGCTAAGGACTGGTTTAGAGCTTCTTTTTTTCAGCTTTTTTATTTTAATTTGGGATGTCTATAAAAATCCAGGTTCTTATCTAGCAGTTTTAAACAGTCCTGTCTCTTCACTCCCAGTGATGTCTACCAAAGCAAACATCCTTGTTTCCTATCTGAGAGGGAGGAAAAAAAAAATAAAATAACATATTTTAATCTATATTTTTCATGTTTCGGTTAGGCTGTCACCAGTGTTGTCCAAATGTTACAATACAACAGGAAACACAGGAGTTGTTTCTTTATGCCTWAAAAACATGGTATGCAGTGGCACTYATTTGATGTCMTGWGCATAAAAAACTTAAGCCTCCAGAAAAAAAAAGTTGCAGAAATTTTCAATGCCAAAACAAAAGTTCCTGTTTTCATACTACCCCCCAAAAAGTATTTTCTGTTTAACAAATAATAGCTCGATAGTGATAAAGAACTTGTGTTGACTGCAGAAGTAAACATTCATTACACAAAGTGTGCTTTTTAAATAGTCTAAAAGCATGTTTTAAGTTGGAGAAGGAGTCACAGAATGGAAGGGACCCCAAGATCAGAGTACAGCCCCTGTTCCTGCCCAGACCCCCCAAATCCCAAATCCCAAATCCCGCCCTGTGCATCCCTGGCAGCACTGTCTGAACGCTCCTGGAGCTCTGGCAGCCTCAGGGCTGGGACCATTCCCTGGGGAGCCTGGGCAGGGAAGAAGAACCTTTCCCTGAGATCCACCCTAAACCTCCCTGGCATTCCCTGGGTGCTGTCCCTGTCACAGACAGCAGAGATGTCCCTCATGAGGATGTTGGACACCACAACGAGGTTTGACCTCTCCTCCAGCTGACCAGGCCAAATGACCACAGCTCCCCCCCAGCCCCTTCCCCACCTCCATGGCCCTCCTTTGCCCACTCCCCGGGAGCTGCAGATCCCCCTGGAGTGCTCACGGTTGACGAAGATCTGCTCCTCGTGGGATAGGATGCTGGTCAGGTGCGCTCCCTGCAGCCGGCACTCGCGCTCCGCCGTGTCCCACGTGCGCCGGTGAGCRAAGTACTTGTAGCACTGCCCCTGGAACTTGTGCCAGCCGTAGTCACAGGTCTCTGTGTCTGCAGCAGAGCAGAGAGAGCCCCCTGTCAGTGGGCTGAAACCAGGCACATTTGGTTAATGCCCTAAAACCAGGAAGGTTTGGTCAATGGACCAGAACCAGGCACGTTTGGTCATTGCCCCAAAATTGGACACATTTGGTCAATGGGCTGAAACAGGGAAGGTTTAACCAATGCCCCAAAACTAAGCATGTTTGGTCATTGCAACAAAACTGGGAAAGTTTGGTCAATGCACCAAAACTGGACACATTTGGTCAATGGGCCAAAACCAGAAAGGTTTTGTCAATGCACCAAAATCGGAAAAGTTTGGTCAATGCACCAAAACTGGAAAAGTTTGGTCAATGGGCCAAACCAGGCACATTTGGTCATCGCACCAAAACTGGGCATGTTTGGTCAATGCCCCAAAATTGGGCACGTTTGATCAAGGCACCAAAACTGAGAAGGTTTGGTCATTGCACCAAAAATGGGCATGTTTGGTCAATGCCCCAAAACTGGAAAGGTTTGGTCAATGGGCCAAAACCAGGCTCCTTTGGTCAATCCCCCAAAACCAGGAAGGTTTGGTCAATGCGCCAAACCCACGTTTAGTTAAGCCACCAAAACTGGACACGTTTGGCCAATGGGCCAAAACAGGGAAGGTTTGGTCAATGTGCCAAACCCAGTCACGTTTAGTCAAGGCACCAAAACTGGACACATTTTGTCCATGCACCAGAACCAAGTATGTTTGGTCAGTGGATCAAAACCAGGCACCTTTTGTCAGTTGGCCATAATGGGGAAAGTTTGGTCAATGCCCTAAAACCAGAAAGGTTTGGTCAATACCCCAAAACTGGGAAGGTTTGGTCAATGCACCAAAACCAGGCACGTTTGGTCAAGGCACCAAAACTTGGCACATTTTGTCAAGGCCAAAACCGGGAAGGTTTGGCCAATGCCCCAAAACCAGAAAGGTTTGGTCAATGCCCCAAAACTGGACACATTTGGTCCATGCACCAGAACCAAGTATGTTTGGTCAGTGAGCCAAACCAGGCATGTTTGGTCAATGCCCCAAAACTGGAAAAGTTTGGTCAATGCACCAAAACTGGAAAAGTTTGGTCAATAGGCCAAACCCAGGCACATTTGGTCAATGCATCACAACTGGACACATTTGGCCAATTGGCCAAAACAGGGAAGGTTTGATCAATGCACCAAAACTGGACACATTTTGTCCATGCACCAGAAGCAAGTACGTTTGGTTAGTGGGTCAAAACCAGGCACCTTTGGTCAATTGGCCAAAACGGGGAAAGTTTGGTCAATGTTCCAAAACCAGGCATGTTTGGTCAATGCCCCAAAACCAGAAAGGTTTGGTCAATGTACCACAACTGGACACATTTGGTCAATGGGCCAAAACTGGGAAGGTTTGGTCAATGTGCCAAAACCAGGCTTGTTTGGTCATTGTGCCAAAACTGGGCATGTTTGGTCAGTTGGCCAAAACCAGAAAGGTTTGGTCAATGGGCCAAACCCAGACATGTTTGGTCAATACCCCAAAATTAAGCACATGTGGTCAATGCACCAAAAACGAGCATATTTAGTCAATGCACCAAAACCAAGCATATTTGGTCATTCCACCAAAACTTGGCACGTTTGGTCAATGCACCAAAATTGGGCACATTTTGTCCACACTGGTGGATTTTCCATGGGACCAAGCTCCAAGAAAANCAGAGAGAGCCCCCTGTCAGTGGGCTGAAACCAGGCACCTTTGGTTAATGCCCTAAAACCGGGAAGGTTTGGTCAATGCACCAAAATTGGACACATTTGGTCAATGGGACAAAGCAGGGAAGGTTTGGTCAGTGCCCCAAAACCAGGCACATTTGAACAAGGCACCAAAACTGGGTATGTTTTGTCAATGCCCCAAAATCAAGCACATTTGGTCAATGCACCAAAACTTGGCACATTTGATCAAGGCACCAAAATCAAAAAGGTTTGGTCATTGTACCAAAACTGGGCATGTTTGGCCAATGCCCCAAAGTTGGGCATGTTTGGTCAATGCACCAAAATTGGACACATTTGGTCAATGGGCCAAAACAGGGAAGGTTTGGTCAATGCACCAAAACCAGGAAAGTTTGGTCAATGGGCCAAAAGCAAGTCAATTGACCAAAGTTTGGTCAATGGGCCAAGCACATTTGGTCAATGCACCACAACTGGACACATTTGGCCAATTGGCCAAAACAGGGCACATTTGGTCAATGCACCAAAACTGGACACATTTTGTCCATGCACCAGAAGCAAGTACGTTTGGTTAGTGGGTCAAAACCAGGCACCTTTGGTCAGTTGGCCAAAAAGGGGGAAGTTTGGTCAATGCCCTAAAACTAGGCATGTTTGGTCAAGGCACCAAAACTTGGCACATTTGGTGAAGGCCAAAACCAGGAAGATTTGGCCAATGCCCCAAAACCAGAAAGGTTTGGTCAATGCCCCAAAACCAGGCACATTTGGTCCATGCACCAGAACCAGAAAGGTTTGGTCAATGCCCCAAAACTGGACACATTTGGTCCATGCAGCAGAACCAAGTACCTTTGATCAGTGAGCCAAACCAGAAAAGTCAGATCATTGCACCAAAACTGGGCATGTTTGGTCAATGCCCCAAAATTGGAAAGGTTTGATCAATGCACCACAAGTGGACACATTTGGCCAATTGGCCAAAACAGGGAAGGTTTGCTCAATGCACCAAAACTGGACATATTTGGTCCATGCACCAGAACAAAGTATGTTTGGTCAGTGGGTCAAAACTAGGCACCTTTGGTCAATTGGCCAAAACAGGGAAGGTTTGGTCAAGGCACCAAAACTGGAAAGGTTTGGTCAGTGCCCCAAAACTGGACACATTTGGTCAATGGGCCAAAACTGGGAAGGTTTGGTAAATGTGCCAAAACCAGGCTTGTTTGGTCAATACCCCAAAATCAAGCACACGAGGTCAATGCACCAAAAACAAGCATATTTAGTCAATGCACCAAAACCAAGCACATTTGGTCATTCCACCAAAACTTGGCACGTTTGATCAATGCACCAAAATTGGGTACATTTTGTCCACACTGGTGGATTTTCCATGGGACCAAGCTCCAAGAAAAAAACCCATCTGTTGCGGTGTGCAAAGTCAAACATTTTTCCCTGAAACCTCACTTTCAGGCAGCTCTGTTTACCCAGTTCCAGCACAGGCTGCGAGAATATTATTTCTCTAAGGAGTATAATTACATTTGGAAACTTTGTGGGTTTCCACTGATTGAATTGGGCTGAATCTGGACAATTTCAGGACAACTTTATCTGTAACCCCAGATGAATGAAATGCCATCCAAATGGATGTTGGACAGCAGTGGATCTCTATTTCATCAGAGTTTCCTGAACCTATACGTGAAGACAGAATTTTTTTTTCTTTCAAGGACAAATGTTTCTTTGAATGACTGTACTTAGTTTGGAAGAAACTGATAAGTGAAAATTATAGGAAGGGAAATTATTGTGATTGTTCARCCCGCAGAGGCAAAGCTGCAATATTTATCTTTCTGAACCCATGCCTCCAAATCCTCCCCCAAAGCCCATCTTCCTTGACAAAGTCAACTTCAGGCATCAATTTGTTAGGAAGTTTGCAAAGCTGAAATGAATACAAAGTAATGAAATTGCACATTCTCTGTGCTGGCATGAGGCGTGGTGCTGATAAGAATGCATCACAGAGAAAAGTTCACACCAGCCCCTGCATCCTTTCAGCTCAAAGAGGAATAAAAACGAGCCTTGGAACAGGAACAACCCGYGGATTTGACATCAATTATTTTGTCAAGGTTAGGCAGCTCTAAACAGAACAACTGGCAAAAAAACAACTGAGTTTCAGTTTCAAGTTTGCTTCTGCAGGGATGAATCACAGAAAAAAAAAAAAAGAAAAAAAATCAGCGTTAATAAGATGGGCAAAACAAACGTGATGTCTGAATGTGCCTGAGCTGTGCTCGAGGATGGGAAGGACTCGCCAGTGATAAGGGAGAGTTTTAGGGCGGAGTGGGAGATACAAGAAGGGAACAGATGCAATGGCATCAGAAAAGGACATTTCAGCCCAAGATTACAGCGTGTCCCAACCATATCTGAGCATGGGATGGCTCACCCTGAGGGGCCTCAGGGGCAGGATGCTGAGGAACAGGCCTGACCTTCGCCACCCCACCCACCCAGCAGCAATCTGCCACTTCCCACTGAGTTTTATCAATCCCCCATGCAAAATTGTGTCTGAAACCAATGGTTATTGGGTGAGAAGAGGTGGGGAGATGTAATGGGATGGAAACTGGGTTTTTCTTTTCCACTAAGTGAGTATAGCCAGTGCTTTGGGTCTCTTCTTGCATTGGTACAGAAACAGCCAAATATTGYAGAATATGCCATGGACTAATAACTAAAAATACCTTAACTAAGGGATTACTAAAAAACAACTGGGAAATATTTTTTCACAGCACAGAGCTGGTTCGTAATTCATAGCAGGAAGAGGCCATTTACATCCTAAGCACCAAAATGTCTATTTTTTTTTTTTTTTTTTTCAAAAAGAGTTTAAATCCCCCATGACACAAACTAGATTTTACATGTACATAAATGGATTTCAAAGGGTGAGCATGTCACGTCAGAGGCTTATCAGAATTTGTCTGACACTAATAGTGTAATCATTGCCTTAAGAGGTTGATATCAAAATAATTTCCCAAAAGTYATCAGTATTGACAGAAATGTACTAAATGTAAAGGCAAAACAAAGCTCACACTGATTATCTCCCTTCTATTTCCAGGAAGTTGAACTGCAGAAAACTGTTTGTGCCTTGAGTCATCTCAGCTATGAAAAAAAGGAATGTAATTTATACAACCAAATTGTTAGTTTTTGTATCATTTCCCTCTGTATTCTGCGTGAGGTGCAGGCTCCAGACACAGCTTTAATCTCTGYCATCTAAGTAGTTTTTAAAGTTTAGTCTGCCTTGGGCTTTCTGGAGTATTTGTTTAACCACACGAGGCTGACTAACAGACCTATGTCCTTTGTGAAGGCACTTGAGATTTTATTATTTATCTTGTTCAGGGACTCTTTYGTCCCACAGGAAACAAGTCAGATAATTACAAGGAGAGCTGAGAAAAACGTGCCCAGAGAGGATTTCCAGACTGTTCTAATCACGCTTTCCCTGGCCTCAGCTAGGCAAGAAGTGAAGGATTTGAGAGAAGTTCTGCTGAAAGGCACACTGGGGAGGAGAAGAGGCTTGAAAACTCAAAACTGAGAGGACTGCATTCACAAAATGAGCATGAATCATAAAAAAACCACAATTTCTCATCTTAAGGAAAAAGGTGCCAAACAGTGACAAAGCGAAAAGTTAAGCAATTTCTTCACCTGTGTGTATCTCAAGTTTTAAGAAAAAACAAAACAAAACAACAACAAAAAAAAAAAAAAAAAAAACCCCACAAAAAACAAAAAAAAAAAAACCCAAAAAAAAGAGGACTGATGGCTATAAAATACAAGATGTCTTTAGATGGGGGCTAAGAGGATTTTTTTCTTTGAGTTTGGGGGAGACACTGAAGATTCTAAGATCCTGAGGTTTGTTTTTTGGGGGATTTTGCTTTTGCTGTTTTGTTGTTGGCTTTTTATGGGGGGTAGGGTTTTTTAGTTTTTTTTTTTAGAGGAGGGGTTGACAAGAAGAGAGAACAAACAAATAGGGAAAGGAAGATTCGAGGTGGTAGAGGATAAAAAATGCAAACCAGGCAAGTRAAAATGTGGGGACAGTTTCATCTCTGCAGTGCTTTGTCCTCCCTTACTCAATGAAGAAAGCTGAAAGGATGACAAAAAAGGGAAAAGGGTTCCATATGGGTAAATTTTTAATTTTTAGTACCTTTACAGAACTAGTAGACCCTAACTGCAGGTGGCTGTAAATTCTCTGACCCAACCACAGTGAGCAGAGGAGGTGCAGGCACTCACTGAATGCAGTACTTCACATTTATTGTGTTCTCAGCCAGGCAACCAATCACAGACTCCTGTAACCCTATTCCAGCGTGTGATGGAAACTCTGAAACACTGCTCACCACATTTGTGGTGCTTTAAAACCCGTCTGAGCAGCGCCAGGATTTATGGCAATGTGCAGGGGATCCTCAGTGAGGTTACTGTCACAGCAGAGAGAATGTAACAACATCCCTAAACATTGAATTAAAAAAGAGTTCTCTCTAGGTTTGATAAATAAATAGGTACTGCCTTTCCAATAGCTGCAAWAAGCTGCTGACAATAGGTCCCTTGTCTTTCAAGAAATTCCAGAAGAGGCTTAGAGGAAATAAAGACTGACACAGGTACCAGAACATAATGAAAGTCTGACTCAGATGTGGATTTTATCTGCGACTCTCTGCCTTCAGCTAATGAGGGAATGCTGGAGGCCACTTAGGCCACACAACTTGAGAAGAAACCCATTTCTCTAGTAAATATTCMAAATAAACCCTTTTCAGCTGATAGACATCAGTGAGAGACCATCTGTTTTCAGAAAAAAAATCTTTTCCCTGAAACTTTCTCAACTGCTCCAATCCCAAGCTACCAAGCCCTGGGAACAAAGTGAATTAAACGAGACTGGAGAGCAATCACAGACATTGAAACAATGAACTTGGGTTATAAGAAAACACAGTTCCCGATAGGATGGTTAAAAACCACAAATTGTTTTGTTTTCAGAACCTGAGAGAGAACAGCTGGTTGAATTATCCCARGGAGGCTCATCCTGTTACAAACACACATGTGCCATTTTTTGCACACACATCCAGCTGTGAGGAAGCCAAACTTTAGGTTTAAAACACTCCTTGAGAGCAGGTAGCCACCAGTTAGAGCAGCAAARGAAGAGGAAGAAAGGGAAACTCTAGCCAGCCAAGGAAGGAAGAGGAAAATCCATAGAGGTGCTCATCCAAGTTGCCATAAAGAGAACTCACCCCTAAAATTGAGATTCAAATTTCAAGTCTCTACCATTTCCTGAGAATTGTCAGAGGGGCTTTTCACAGAGGAATGACAGTGGAAAGACTGATGGGTCTCCCAGAATTAAAGCCATACCAAGACTTACTGYAGCCTGCAGTCACTCTTTGAAAAAGTGTTTTGGGGATATTTATGAATTTTAAGAGGYGATGCTCAAATGTCACCGAGACCCACAAGAATATGAATCTTTCCTTTGAAAAGACACAAGTGGTGGGCAAGAGAAGATAAAATCTCTTTTAATCTCACCTGCACCAGCAGTGATGCTGTCTCAACCCAACTAACAATTTAGATTAAAAGCAACTCTCAAGCAACTTTTCAAGGAACTTTTCAGCTGCACTAATTTCTAACATCAGACAACTTCAGCTCTCTTCAGGAAGATGTTCCCGGGCTCGGATTGCTGAACTCTTTCCACCTGGCAAGAGGAAGGGCTGTCAGGGAGCCAGTTCCAGCTCCCTGAGTCTCAGGACTGGATTAGATCACCCAGAAGGTTCCTTTAAACTTCCAGCACCTGCCAGAGCTCCCTGACGTGCAGCTGTGCATCCCCTCCAAGTGCTGACACCCCTGTCGAGGATCCCTTCATCCACAACAATCCCACGGGGGCTCTTGGGTGAAATTCTGAGCTCTGCAGTTTTTTTCTGCACTGGTGCCATGGGTGTGGATGGGATGATGTCCCCAATGTCTCCAATAAAACTTCGAATTTAATTTCCAAAGGCAGTGCCCCCTCCCTGCTCCTATTCCTTCCCACGGCATTTTGAATGCTCAGCACTGCACCTAAAAATCCCCTCAGCCTGATTTTTTTTTTTTTTTTAAGCTTTCTGAAATGAAAAGTATTTTTGGTGGAATGAAAAAAAAAAAAAAGGAAAAAAAAATAAAAAAGAAGTAATGAAATACAATCTCGGTGTGCTGAACTCCACCTTTCCTGTGGCACTGAGGTGCACATTTTGCCGTCCTGGATGGTCTTTAAATCCAGTGAGGTCAGGACTGATGCCTTGAAATAAGGCCTGCTTGCCAGACAACCATGTCTGAATCGCCAACACAGTTTTATTTTGTCTGGTGGAGTGGAAATTTGGCACCGAAACCTTTTCCCAAGTCCCAAACCACTGCAGGACTTTAAGTGGAGGAAATTTAAATTCCAAAGCTGAGAGAGCACAGCTCTGGTTCTGATTGACAAACTAGGAAATGTTCCCATTAACCACCTAAAATGCACTCTCAGGTTGGCCATAAAAAGCAGCTTAAAGCTACCATGGCACTCAGAGCMACTCACTGCTATGGATTTGCTGGAATGAGGGGGAGGAGGAAGGAGTCAGAGCATTTATTTCTTTGGTGTGAAAACACTGTCAATTTTTAATTTGGGAGAAAAGGTTCAAGAAAGCCCTCTCAAGTTACAAGGTGAGCCAGACTGCTGAAAAGGTTAAACYGTGAAAATGCTGGAGCTGATCAGCTCTGAGATTTTTCGTCTCTAACAAACAAATCTCCACAGGCTGAGCTGGAAGAGTTTGCAAACCACCTTTCACTAAAGTTGAGACACAGACATGAAAATACACAATATTAATTAAACAAGTCCAAAGGTTTAGTTCATTCACCTGTGACCAAAATCATTCAGCTGAAGAAAATGGAAAAAAAATATTTTCATAAGCTCTAGCAAGTACACTTTAATACACCATTTCTTTTTCCCACGGAAATGCCTTCATTAATTTTATTGACAGAGCAAATTTTGCTACTCTGTTCCTCCTCCCACATATTGAGTAAGCATCTTGCACTGTAAATGTTTCCTGTARATGCAGTGGGGCTCTTGCAGACAATTTTCTAACAACTACAGGCTCTTGGATATTCAATCTTATTTCAGTTGTCCCCTTTAGAAAGCCTTTGACAATCCCCTCATATTGATAATCCTGCACCTACTTTTCCCACAAAAATCCCAGAACATATAATTTTGAACATTGTGGGATGAAGTTGTCAAACCTGTGGTTTCCAGTGAATGAATAAATAATCTGTCTCGCTCAATGAACTATTCCTGTATCTCACTGATGCTTTTTGGAGGTGATGGGTTCTGATGTGTCTTTTGCACTGCATGTAATTTTTTTAGGAGAGGAACTCAGTGACTCTGCTGCCATGATTGAGGATCCCTACACCAATGAGAGAACTTCCTAATGTGTCTTCCCAGCAGTTTGCAAGCCAACAGAAGCGAGCAGGGTTGAGGCCACTGAAAACCTTTGCTGAAAAGCAACACCTGAAAGCTGTTTTGCCACAGAAATTGCCTAATACATCACTTTTTACCTGGTGCATGGCAACATGGCTTCCAGTGAAGTTAGCATGAGGATAAGCTCTTTGCAAAATGAGAGATGGGAAAAACCCTAGCACTGTAACTCATGGAAATTTAACAAAAATTAGGATTTCTCCTCACCAGTGGTGGCTTCCCGCACATTTTTGTGAGTTTATTCCACCTTGCCATGTTCAGRAGGCTTTGCCCTGTGCCTCCAGAAGATTTTGGGATGGAGATGGGTGKCCAGCAGCCTTACCTTGCTCACAGAGGGCTCCAATGTAGCTGGGCAGGCACAGGCAGCTGAAGGTGTTGAGGCCATCGATGCACGTGGCTCCGTTSCGGCACGGGTTGGACTGGCACTCGTCGATGTCTACAGCATAAAATAAAAGTGGTTTTACTGCCCACCAAACTGCCAGGAGGGAAATGCTCTCCAGCCTTAGTCACTCTGGTGGCTGGGGCTGGTTCAGAGAAGAGGAATGAAGTGTTGCAAAAGACCCCAGTGGTGACTGTGTGGCTGAGAAAGAGGAATGCCACGCAGCGTGCGGTGCTCTCCTGGTGGAAAATTTGACTTGTGCGTGTGAGTCTGGCACAAGAAAAATTCCCACTGACCCCCAGGGACCTCGAGTTCCTTCATGAAACTCAAATATTGGAAATCTTATCRTGCAGGATTAAACAGACTGCTCATTTCAGCCTGCAGAGCAGCAGGTATTGGCTTCTAATTGGTTTGCATTTCTCATTTCTTTTTTGTCTAATCTTATCATGAGAAGGACAAAACATTACCTGAACTCATGGTCTTGAACAGCAAACAAATCACATAGCAGTCCCTGCCTCCTCTAGCTGCTGAAATACCTTGCCTTCACCTTTAAATTAGGTCAGAAGTTCATTTTAAACAATTACTTTGAGCACAGGTTACTTTTGCACAGGTTATAAACTTGTATGTCTCTTCATAAAGGTCATTTGATTTTCCTAATGAGCACTGTTCCCCTGAAAGAATCACAGCTTTAATTTAAATACAGATTTTGCAAACATCTTAGTCCAAAATGAACTGCTGGTAATGATTCACACATTAAAAAAAAAAGAGAGAAGATAGACTTATCTACAAACCAACAAACAACTAGGAATAATTGCTGCATCATATGGAAGGCATTTAAAAAATATATTTCTATTTTAAAACGTGGTTCTGTTCAGATTTTATGCTAGGCCTTACTTGTTCCAGTCACTTTCATCATAYTTTGAATAGATTTCTGGAAGGAAAAGTTGGTTATTCTGAATTATACAGGTGAGTCTCTCRAAATCTACAGTCACAGGAGGTGCACAGATGTCACAGGCAACTGGAAAAGGTTCCTTGGCTAGAATTGTTAGCAAAACACTTATTTGTACCAAAGATCCATATGATTATGATAATTCTTTACATTTCCTGCAAAAAATTTCAAGTTTGTGTTCAGTGCTCACCTTCCCAGCCACCTTTTTACCATTCTTTCAAATAACTGCATGAAGGTCTTAGGGAACTATCCCAAATATTAATGTTTATTTTGTTTTATTTGGAATTTAGTGCTGAGAGCTCCTGTTCCTGCAGTTCATTTACAGCTCCTTCAACCTGTGTGTGCATGCACACGTGTGTGGACTTCAGAGGAGAAAGAAAAAGTGAGAGAAGGTGGGGAACTCTCCATTTTATTGTCCTTAATCATCAGTTTACCTAATTCACACTGCTCCCCGCTGAAACCTGGCAGGCAGGTGCAGATGTAGAAGGAACCACGTGGGTAGCAGGTCCCACCATTGAGGCAGGGGTTGCTTTTGCACGGATCTTGGCCTGTCAAACAAGAAGAAAAAGGAAATTGACGCCCCAGTTTCAAGGAATGGTGAATTTTTGAATTTTTGGGAAGAAAAAAATGTTTCTTCGTTGCTACATTGGTGTTGCAGGCTTTACTGTAGCTACAGAAACTCTATTAACATACTCAGCTACCCAAAAATAAGATTTATAAAACAGTAAAGCTTGTCTTCAGGCATCACTACTTTCAACTTTAACAACAAAATCGCATTTGGTACGAACCAATGTAAATTGCTCTTGGAATTACATTTTTTTTTTCCACAGCAATTTGTGCTATGTTTGGCAGTCATGATACTCTGYTGAGGATTTAGTTTGCATGACATGACAATTAATTATAGCTGAAAACAGTTAAACATATGCAAAATGAATGGAAAATGCTTTTTTCTTGAACAGGGTTAGTTTGTGCGGAATGACAGGGTACACAGAACATATTGCCTGGCTTTTGTTTTTTCACTCCCTTATATTCAAYCAATCAATACCCACAAAGCTTCATTTCTTTTCTCACATGACTATTTCCCACCTGCCTTTCTTAAAATTATCKTTAAATCATACATTTAAAGAATACAAACAAAGGCACTGAGCGTATTTATAACTGAGCTAAGCATGAAGATAAAAACTTACCTGCAGTGAAATCCTCGGTTGTTGCAGGACTGAGCGTTTAAATACCTTTTCCTCGAAGAGCTTTGTGGCTTCCAGTGATGTTTATTTCCACTGAGTTTAGATACCTGGATTTTTACATTTGATTCCATGCCTAGGAGCACTCACTCACACAAACAAGTACACACTAAACCATTTCTAAGAGTTATCTCCTCACAGGGAAAGGGAAATCCTGAAGTCTTTCTGGGGTGCAAAAATAAAGCCCTGGCTTTGAAAACTTACAAAATGGGTAAGAGAGGTCTGTGAATCAGAGGCATGAGAAGAATAAAGATTTTTTTGATCGCTTTCCCAAAACAATCTGATTATGGTTTAGTAAAAAAAATAAAAAAATTAAAAAAAAAAAAAAAAAAGGTAAGAACATAAAAAACATCTATTTTACTCTGGCAAATCACACATTCAAAGTCTTCTTAAAAGTACCCTGTCTAGGCATGGGAATGCAGAAGGTCCAGCTGAAAGCCTCCAGAGGAAAATCCTGCATACATCAATTTAGGATCGTAATTAAGCAATTAAGGATTTCACCTTGGAGGTTTYGGAAGGGATCTGATTCCATCCATTCAATAGGGTGCTTGTTTTAGGACTGCTCCACTGAAAGTCACAAATGCAGGGCTCTGTTGAGCACCTCAATGGTGTTTTTTGTGTGTTTGCTCTCCTACAGACTGGTATTTCCCCAGTAAAAAACTTCAATTTGACTGCTACCTGAATTATTTGAGGAAAAATAATAGAAAACCCTTTAAAATCAGGCCCAGTTCAGTTCTTTCCTCAGCTGTATCTAGACAAAATCTGAATTGAAGTGACACTACTGGCATCACCCACGCATTTGATGAAATGGTGCCCAATAGAATACAAAATACTGTGGCAAAAGATTTCTAACAAAAAGAAAATTTTTAAGAAACAGACACTGTATCAACCAATTAAAGCTATGAGCAGGCTGACAACAAGGTCTTTGTTTTCTCTTGTGTGGAAAGTTGTCTTGCAGGTCAAGAGAATTTGATTTCCATAGAAAGTTCTGATCCTAAAGATGTTAAGAATAGCCCTGCCTATAAATCAGTTAAGTTCAGTACCATGATCACACACACAAGGAAAGCCATCAGACAAAATTATCCGATTACAGGAAATCGGAAAGTGAAATTATTACAGACCTTCCTGCCTTTCAGAACTGTCTGGTTACCTCCTGTCTGATCCAGAGCTCCATCAGGCAAACATTGATGATGGAAAATCACTGGGCTTGGGTTTGGGTACCCAAGGCAGGGGTCACAACCACACTGATTTCTCAGCTGGAGAGTGATGATGCCCGTGGTCATTTCACCTGTCACCAGAGCCCAGGCCACACCTTCACCAGTGCCACCACACCCACACCACCACAGGGGTCACATCTGGTCAGTTACCTGGAATCTGCACTGCTGTGCCTTCAACTGAACCCACACTGGTGCCAATCACGAAATCTGATCCGTTGGTGACTTCGGGAAGGGACAAGGACGAGGTCACGGCTTCGGCAGTGCCTGGCTCCTCAGAGCTCAGTGTCCACTGCTCGTTTTGGTAGGGGCTGTTCCCAGGGGCAAGGCTGTTTGCTGCAATGTTAGAAGAAATGGTTGTGATCTCCCCCTGACCGTACAGAGCTGGCTGTGTCTCGGTGCCTCCATCCAAAAGTTGGGAAGGTGAGGTGAGCATCGTGACTGCTTCCTGGGCAGGGTTAAATCCTGCGCTTTCGATGCTGTTGGGTGAGTCTGAAACGGTGGTGGAGAAGAACCAGGGGTTCTGGTTCTCAGTGCTCCTGTCTTCCTCTTGGTGGGGATTGTTCACTCTCCCCCCCGAGGAAACTTCAGCTTTTGTTGTGCTGATTTTTGGAACATCTGTGCTCGCTCTTTCTCCGAAATTGAGAAAAGCAGTGGGCAAGACATGTGTCGATGGAGAATCTCCAGAAACAGCAGCTTCTTCCTCCCCAGCCAAATCACTTCCAGGGGTTTCAGTCTCCTCTGGCTCCACTGTCACCAGACTACCAAAGTGAGGAGTATTTTCTGAGGCTGTGCTCTCTGAAACAGGCTCAGGAGAAGGCTCCAGCAGAGAAGGCTCTTTTGTGTCAAGAAGTTCAGCAGTGGGCGGTTTATATGTTGCTGTAACATCAGAACTAACCTCTTTGAAGATCCCTCCTGCTGAGTGGTTGGACTGATGTGAATCCCTTGAAGATGATGATGATGATGATGATGATGATGTGCTCGTAATGATGACCTCAGGGTACTCAGATACTCCGTTTACTAAATGAACAGTTACTGAGGATTTAGGAGTTTGCGAAACAGAATAAAAGCTCTCTGCATCTGTCTCCTCGTACTCTGCTGACGCTGATTTTGTGTTTGTGTACACCACGGGACGATTCCCCGCGCTCCTGGTGGGTGACACAGTCACCAGCTGGGATGCAGGCTGGGTGGTGGCAACGCTCAGCTCAAGCTTTCCAGTTGTCAAAGCCTTTTCTGGCTCAGCAGCCACGGTGGGTGCAAGAGAAGGAACCACGGGCTGATTATCAGCCAGCTCTTCCTGGCCCATTCCAGAAAAGCCACTTTGATCTGCAATTACCCCGTTGTTTGCTGAAGTGCTTGGCTCATAGGTGCTGTCTGCAGTGCTGGTTACAACAGGCTSTGACTGAGGCACCCCAGGGCTTGCCAGAGATGGCACTGTAGGGAGGAAAACGCCCTGCTCAGAGATATCCATGGTGGTGACAGTTTCTGCGGCGAAGTTCATGTCATTCCCTGAACCTGAATCCACRTCATCTGAGGCTGGTGTGTGCCCAGAAGTCGCTGACTCTCTGCTTGGTGGGCTAGAAGTAGTCAGAGGAAGGTTGTCACCAGATCCAAGCGTGTTTTCTTTGGCTGTGGAAAACTCAGGAGTGGAATGGTATTTTTCCCCTTCAGCTGTCGTGCTGTCATCATAGCCAAATGTAGAGTGTGCAACGGGATTTGGCACGGTCTGCACACTTATGATATCCTCAGGCATCGATTTGGAGTGATCCATGTCTATAATTGTGGTTTCCTCTGGTGGGGTCTGCAGCCGTTCTTCAATCAGGGTAATGTCACCGTAAACAGAAATGTTCAATATAACGCTTCTTCTGTCATCGATCATGGGAATAATTTTTTCATATATCCCAGTGTCACTTGTTAGTTCTTCTGATGAAACTGCCTTTGGGTAAACAGAAGATGGATTTGCCACAGCCTCTGTTTCTTCTGTGAAAAGGGATGCTAGTCCTGTGATCAGAGTCTSTGACCCATCCCTCGGTGCCTCTGTGGTCACAACTTTGGAATAAACACGCCCAGGAACACTGGATGAAGCATTTAGTTCYACTTTGGATACAGTGGGTATTGAGAAATGAGTAAACACATCAGGAGAAGATGAATCTGAAACACCAAGCCAGCCAGATCCTTCCCCAGAGCTCTCAGGTAATGCTCTGCCTGGCGTTTTTGCTGTTGATGTTACAAGAGGTTCCTCTGTTTCAGGACTGGGAGTTCCACTCGGTATAACAGACACAGGAGTTGTGCCACCTTCAGTCAGAAAACGTGAATTTTCCTCTTGGGAAATACCTTTAGAAGCAGGTGTTGTCTTATCTGTTTCATTTTCCCTTCTCCAATAGTCAGTTTCCTTCTCCTGAGGTTCTTCATTCGCAACAAAATAAAGTGTTGTCTCTTCAACTTCTTTGGAGATGAAGCTCTTGGAGCTGTCTTCAACTAAAGCTGGGGGACTGGGGAAYGTGGAGGTGGGGAACTGGCCTCCAGTTTCTGGCAGCAGCTCAGCTACAGCACTTGTGACTYCTTCACTAAATTCAGCACTTGCTGGAGTGCTCCCTCTTTCAAATTCGTGTGCCTTGTCAGYGGAAAGCTCAGGTCCCAGATTTGCAGGGTGAGAAGTCTGAGGACTCAAGGTGCTCTTGATTTCCTTGACGATAAATGGCACCACAGAAGGAAGAACAGCAAGGTCATCTCCTGAGCCCTGTCCTGAAAACAGCTGATCACCAATGAGCTCGTTACTTGACAGCTTTTCACCCTTAGGTGTCAGGAATGTTCTGGGAATATCTTTCGTAGGGAAAATGTTTTGCACCAGCTCCTCCTCTTGCTCTACAACTGTGACTGGAGAGCTCACATATTTCCTTTCCACCGTTACAGGCTCAGTTACTCTGTCATCATTAAAAGGCAAAAGTRTTTTTTGAGCAGGTTCAGTTTCTAACTCCTTTTCTTCCGAATATGRACTGAGAGTCGGAACATTTAAAAACCCCAGATGCTCATGGCTAGTCTGTGTACTTTTAAAGAATGGGTCTGTTGTTGTTTCTTTGGAAAACTCCGTAGCTTTTGGTGAAATTTCGCTTGGCCTCTCATCCCCAGAATGTATCTCCTCCATCAAAGGGATCTTTGTAGAAAAAGCTCTCACTGACAGCTCATCAATCGTTTTCTCRTCCGTTCTCATGTCCCCTGCAGTTCCCATGGAGGTGACCTCGTGTTCAGAACTGGTGACCAGCTCATCATGGTCTGCAGTGACAGCAGGATCTGGAGGTGCTGTGCTGACAAATTGTCTGTCATCCTTCTCCCATGTTTCTGGTTTCCCAGTAGGGGCAGCTGCTGTTTTTGYAAATGATCCAGTGGACAGGTCAGGCTCTCCTGAGAAATGACCTTCAAACATTTCTTCCGTAGGTCCATTGGACATAAGTTTTGTRGTGCTGCTGTCATCTTTGAATTCGTCTCCAGAGCCCTGCTCAATCAGGAAAATCTTGCCCAGTGAGACAGTTGAAGAACCAACTTTTGCATCTTTGCTTTCTGTAGATTCAGCTGCTGCTTTTACAGTGCCAGTACCATGTGTCACCACATCCTCACGAGGGTTGTCACTGACCACTGACCCTGGGGATGATGTGACCTCCCCTGTTTCTGAATTTTCTGAATCTCCAGCTTCAATTCCTGGCGCAATGTGAGATGTCCTGTCTTTTATAGAACCAGATTTTATGTCAGAGGGAGCTGTGTAGGGTGGTTCTGTTTCCATGTTTTGTTCTCTTGGATTTTTTGTACTAAACACATCCAGGGACATCTGACTCGCTGCTCCTGACCCCTCTGTGAAGCTCTCTGACCCAGTACTCGAATCTGTCACTGCAGATCCATCTGTTCTTGCATGTTTTTCATACTCTGTTGTTGCATCCTTCGCTGAAGCATCATCTGTGCTGTAAATGTTTCCTTTGTTCTTTTCTGTCTGTGTTTCAGTGACAGGCCTTAATGGAACTGAAGTCAGAGTAGCAGACTCAAGGATAAAATCTGCGTCTCCTGAACCTGGATCAGTAAATGGGGAGCCAATACTTACCCCTGTGCTTGTGGGACCCCCTGAAAATATGTCTGCTGGCTCTTCAGCTGATCCTTCAATTAGAAAAAACTTCTTCTCCCTCAGGAGAGGAATGGTGGTGACCTTGTTGATTTCAGAGCTTATGGTACCTGGTACTGTTTCTCCGAGCAGCTCTTGACCTACAGTTCTGACTTCACCTGTAGTACTCCCAAATTCAGTAAAATCCAAATTTTCCTCTGCAGCAGTAGCTGAATTTTGGTGACCTGAATAAACAGTGGTCTGGGTTTCTTTCTCATCATCCATACTCTTTTCTGTTACAAGAGAGCTGGCAAATACTTGTTCCGTAATAAGCTCAGRCACAGAGCTGGTGGCAACACTTACTTCAGGACTTTGATCAAAACCAGAAAAACGAGTACTTATAGCTCTGGGCGAAGCAGAGGTGATTCCTGAATGAGTTACAGAGAATTCTGTYGGCAGTGCTGTGCCAGAGCCCGAGGAAATGTCTCGCATTGAAAGAGTTTGTGTTACCGCTATTTCCTCTGTCATTGCTGARGTTACAGTGGTGCTATCTTTTACATCTCCAGAGCCTTCCAGATCCATGAAAGAAGCAGCACTCATCTCAGGCTTTGTTGTATGACTTGTTTCCAGAGTATTTTCAACAGGGGAATTTGCGTTAAGTTTAACAGTTGTTTTATAATGGTCTCCTGGAGAAGGCGTTGCCTCTTCTGCAATAAGGTCAATTACACCTTTATTGGCTGTAGAAGGAATAAAAATTGCATCCAGAGAAGCAGTTRCAGCAGAACTTTCTGCAGTAAATGCATCAGGAGAAGCTGTTATATCAGAATTTTTATCATCATCTTCCTTTCCTGACCCTGTCACCACTTCCAAGACAGAAGTGGACAGATCAGATTCGGTGGAGCCATCTCCAGAGGATTCRCTGGAAATCAAGAGCAGGTTTTTGCTGTCTTTAGTAGAGCTCTCCTCAGTTCCATGCCATGTCATGGTCTCTCCACTGTTTTGCTCRTGTGAAGAAGTGGTGGCCGTTGATTTATCTGTTGTAACCACTTCAGACTCCCCACTGTAGACAGGTTCTAACATTGCAGCCCCTGAGGTTGGTTGTGTGACCTCAAACGCCCCTATYCCTTCTCCAGCTTTGCTTGGTTGCATAGTACCAGAAGCTTCGGATTCACTGATTATAAATGTGTTTGTTTCATTGATTTGAGAAAAGGTTACGTTTTTGGAATGTGCGACGCTCTCGATTTGGTCGCTCCGCGCTTCCTCAGCTTTTGTGCTCTTAGGTGCACTCGTAACTTGTTGTTTCCCATTGATGAACTGCAAAGCTGGAGGAGTTGTAACATCAGTAGTATTTTCACAGTCTTCCTCTTCTTCAAACTCTGCATAGTTTGGAAAGAAAGGATCCAATATTATATATTCAGATGAATCCTGCACAGAGTCTGAGGTACAGGGTTCAGTCTGAGCTGAGTCTGCGTCAATGTGGGTTTCATCTAGTGCATGAGGAAGCATGTGGCGATTGAACAGATCCAAAAATTCATTCACCGGGTGATCTGCAAGAAAAAGAGAGCTTTTCATAATCCCTAAGTGACAGGCAGACACATGAAGCACAAGAGATCCACCGCAGAGAAAAAAAAAACAAATGAACCCAAACAAAAATAAACTAAATTCAACAATTCATTGTAAATTCCGTGTTTTCTTCTACTGACACAGTGAAATTCTGCCGTGGTTGGAGCCTCTCTGCACMCTGAGCACATTGATTATTCAGCACTGCTGATTGCCACATTTTCCTTGRTCCCAAACCCACACCTGAGTTACCTTCCCCTACACTGCTCAGCAAAGATAAAAAACTGACAAGGTCAAAACCATTTTTCAGACTGACCTGCTGCAACTGCTTCCATGGATGAATTTAGACACTAAGGAACCTTTCCCAARCACTGAACTCAGACAAAGCTAAGCAAGGTAAAAGCTTAAATTAAATAAGGCATATTTAAACTCCCTCTGCATCTCCATTTTACTTTAGTCTAGAGTAATTCAAATTACTAGGAACAACATAACACCTACATCAATCAGACTCTTCCCTAGACTTGGTCCATAGGTCAGTGAACAAAGTCTTGATTTTTGGCTATTTGGAATTTTAAAGAATTTTGCAGCAAATAAGAGGAAAAAACCCACAGACTCAAAAGTCATCTCCCACTAACGACTGAAGTTCAGTAATTTCCTTCTGTTTATTACTCTGAATTATTTACATGTTCCCACTGATTGCAGACTTCTCACCGTTTTTTTCTAGGTGGCCAGGCAGATAAAGAGGAGGAAAGAAGATCTAAGAAGGCAAGATTTTAGCTGCAGAAAGCCTCATGAATTCCWCCAAGATTTATGACCTCAAATTCCATAGACACTTTTTAAACTTGCCCTTTCAGCACAAACATTACTTCAAACCCTCTGTTTCAGACAATAGAAGCTATCCTAATTAAAAAAAAAAAAAAAAAAAAAAAAAAAAAAAAAAAAAAAAAAAAAAAAAAAAAAAAAAAAAGATACAGCAGACTCAGAAAACAAAAAAAGCCATATTTCACACTTGGCCAACTGACTTGAAATTGGAAACCTTGCTCTGAAATCCAGTTTCATGAGTGTTTTTTTCTTCTGGACATATGTTTATAACCATTTTGCCCAGAGAGGATCTGAACCAACTGACAGGTTGTCAGCAACAATTGCTTCCTGAAAAAATATCTGTATTATGTGACAGAGCTCTATTTTATAAGCAAATCTTCCTCACTAAAACTTTTTACAAGACCTAAAACAAAGAGAACCTGAGCTGAAGCACTTCATAAATTTGAAGTAATTCCCCTAACTATGAAGATAATAATTTAACCTCTATGACTGCTGAGTCCTCAGAGACAGAATCATCAGGTGATCATTCTGGRAAAGAATGTATTCAATCAAATTAAACTGACACAGATCACTGYGAAAAAGGTTTGTGGTTCTTTATCCTGGGCTGGTTTGTGTGTGCAAATTGACTTCAATTTGGTTTTGAAAAGGTCATTGCAACTCCATTGAGAATTAATGTTCCAACATCTCACGCTGTGTTTACAGCTAAACTCATGAAGTATTACGGGATTTTCACTTTGCTAAGGCTCCAGCTGAAGAATACAGAGAATAAATCACCTTCAGCGTTGTTTATTTTGACTACAATGTCAAGTTTGTGCAGCACTAAGCTCAGTGCTCCCAGTGCARCCAAAAAAAAGGTTGTTTTTAACCTCATTTCTGCTTGGCTGTTTTACACTGCCTGGTGTTTACTCTGTGCTGTGATGTCTCTGTTAGAAGATGACAGAACTGAGATTTCTTCTCTCTCCCTCACGTGTGCTTGTTGGGAGTTGTTCTACGCAGTGCTTGTAAAGAATTAATATTTCTCTCCAGTAAATTAAAAATATTTACAAAGGCTGCCCAATGCCACAGAAGAATAAAATTTCTGCAGACATTTATTTGAGCTTTCCTAGATCTCCCTTTCAAATTTTGTAAAAGCAAGAATTCAGTAATCTCCCCAAGACTGGCAGCATGACTTTGAGGAGGATTTCTAATAACAACCCTTTCAGAATCCACAAATTTCAGCAAAAAAACCCAAAATGCTGGACATACCAAGAAACCATTTTTTCCTAAAAGCAGAAGTTTCAATTGAGACATCATTTCTCACCTTCCTTTCAAAGCTGTGCATGCAAAAATCCATGGAAATTCAGCCAGTGAATGAAGAAGGGCAAGATAAACCCGACAGGGAGCTCTTAGAGTTTCTGATTCTTCATAAATTCACTGTAAAATAACTGCACCCAMAGAATCAGAGAACCACACACAGAAAAGTGCATGGCCAGGAAAGATGCCTCATCCTCATGAAGGAGGGATATGCATGAGCAACCTGGAATATAGGCTGGAGTGCCATAAAGATTAATTAGGATTTAACTCACAGCAATTAAGGCGGTGCGACAAAGCGTGCAGCTTTGCACAGAAATGTACATTTAAAAAAAAAAACAAAATTACAAGGCCTGGATGGAGCTGGATGGGCTGCAATTGTAGGAGGGCTCCAGGACTAACAAGTTCTGACCAAGAGTGCAGGATTTTTGCAGMAGAGCACACCTGGGAGWCCCTCAAATTAGTAGCTCACGCTAAGTCATTCACAGTAGGCAATAAATTTAGAGAACAGCATCTGTTCCAAACTCACCTAGAAGACAAACACAAATTCTAACACATTCAGAGATCTCTATCAGACCCTACTTTTACTTTGTTAGCTTTTTCAAGATCTCACATGCCACAACAATCCACATAAAAGAACCTTAGCAAAAGGTATGATATTCTGATAATAAGCTTTCAG